CTGCCAAGTTTTAAATCTGAAAGTGCACCGTGTATAAAGTTATTGTCTCTCAAAAGAAAGAGTCGACTCTGAATAATTGAAACGAGTCATTTTTAAAACGAATCCCAAGCCGTTTCATGTTGACGTCAAAATGAAACATTAGCATATTGCCCGCCCACTTGTTGGTCTTTTCGCGTTGGTCTGAATGAAAATGCAAATTCATTCTCTGCCACTAGGTGCCGCTTTTGGAGCGGTAAAAGAGCTGTTTCCCCGGTAACGGCAGTAAACAAAGCAGCACTGTGCTCACAAACGCTGCTTTATCAGGCATTACAGGCATGATGAAATGAAAATGGGACCACTCACCGCCGATTAGCGTCATGCAAAGGAGGGGTTTGGAAAAATGAATCCTTAAACGATTCGTCTGGGAGTCGTTGAGCAAGTAAGGTAAAAATAAATGCATATTATAAGACAATGAAAGTGTTTTTTGAGCTCGCATGCATGTCAACCTGTTGTTGGGGACTCCCAAAACCAAAATATGAACCTTTCATAACCCATAATAGGGACACTTTAAATTTGTCGATATATAGCTGGTGACAACTAATATTAATGTATGTTTTACTTTATTTTGTGAAAAGAAAGAGGCTGTGAGACAGAGAAAATTGAAACTGGTTAAGGGTATTTAAAAAATGTTTGACCATCTAGAATCAAGTATTTTTTTTATGTTATTTTTTTTATTGTTATTATTATTATTTTTTACAGTTGTAACAATTAGCAGCTGCATTTCAACCGGTTGCCATGATGACCTATTAAATAGTTTCATTTTATTTATTTTGTTTGTTTTGTTTTATTAAAGTTTCAGGAAGAGTTTCAGGCAGCAGAGAGAGCCAAAGACCAGCATCAGTTTCGCTTTCGTTTCCGTTTAAATGCCCCAAACCATCGGCCAAACCCAAGAAGTGGCGAAAACCACTGTCGTTGACAGAATCTACGAAAATGTATGTCGTTTCTAGACACATATTTAACTTTATCTGCAAACACGAGGGCTGTTCGGACTATGGTAAAGTCGAGAGGGATTTACGGCAGAGTTTCACGGTGGCAGATCAGGTTTTGTCTCAGGTGCTCGATGATCACCAGAGGTTTGTTATAGTTCAGGATGAAGACTCGAATCCCAGAAGCTCCATACCAGATGCTGACAGCCTGATCTTAGCCAAAACCTCACTGCGACTGAGTAAACATGACAAATGCTCCGGGTGTGAAGACCTACACCTGTGCAGGTACTTTGTATGTGGAAATTGCAGATTTGGGTAAGTAAACTTTTGAGTTCCATCTCAAGTCACTTGTTATATAATATGGAGATTGTCGTTTGCATTTAATTAAAGAAAAGGAAGCCTTTTTCGACATGTATTCCTTAAAACGATCTAGCTTTGTGTTGTGTTAGTACTAGGCCCTGTTTATTTGGTTCAATAGCGACTAACTGGTGTAATGTTACCACTGTTCCAAGTCAAACCTAACTACCATTGTTAGTTATGACATTGCAAATTTTGTCACTGAATTCTAGTATTAATTCTATGTATTCCAGCTGTTGCTGGTAACTATTTCAGTTTCACCACTAGTAACTATTCATTAAGTCATTTATTTAGTAGTAATTCAAAGAGTTACTCGGATGTATTCCAGTTTTCTAAATATGAACCTTTCATAACCCATAATAGGGACACTTTAAATTTGTCGATATATAGCTGGTGACAACTAATATTAATGTATGTTTTACTTTATTTTGTGAAAAGAAAGAGGCTGTGAGACAGAGAAAATTGAAACTGGTTAAGGGTATTTAAAAAATGTTTGACCATCTAGAATCAAGTATTTTTTTTATGTTATTTTTTTTATTGTTATTATTATTATTTTTTACAGTTGTAACAATTAGCAGCTGCATTTCAACCGGTTGCCATGATGACCTATTAAATAGTTTCATTTTATTTATTTTGTTTGTTTTGTTTTATTAAAGTTTCAGGAAGAGTTTCAGGCAGCAGAGAGAGCCAAAGACCAGCATCAGTTTCGCTTTCGTTTCCGTTTAAATGCCCCAAACCATCGGCCAAACCCAAGAAGTGGCGAAAACCACTGTCGTTGACAGAATCTACGAAAATGTATGTCGTTTCTAGACACATATTTAACTTTATCTGCAAACACGAGGGCTGTTCGGACTATGGTAAAGTCGAGAGGGATTTACGGCAGAGTTTCACGGTGGCAGATCAGGTTTTGTCTCAGGTGCTCGATGATCACCAGAGGTTTGTTATAGTTCAGGATGAAGACTCGAATCCCAGAAGCTCCATACCAGATGCTGACAGCCTGATCTTAGCCAAAACCTCACTGCGACTGAGTAAACATGACAAATGCTCCGGGTGTGAAGACCTACACCTGTGCAGGTACTTTGTATGTGGAAATTGCAGATTTGGGTAAGTAAACTTTTGAGTTCCATCTCAAGTCACTTGTTATATAATATGGAGATTGTCGTTTGCATTTAATTAAAGAAAAGGAAGCCTTTTTCGACATGTATTCCTTAAAACGATCTAGCTTTGTGTTGTGTTAGTACTAGGCCCTGTTTATTTGGTTCAATAGCGACTAACTGGTGTAATGTTACCACTGTTCCAAGTCAAACCTAACTACCATTGTTAGTTATGACATTGCAAATTTTGTCACTGAATTCTAGTATTAATTCTATGTATTCCAGCTGTTGCTGGTAACTATTTCAGTTTCACCACTAGTAACTATTCATTAAGTCATTTATTTAGTAGTAATTCAAAGAGTTACTCGGATGTATTCCAGTTTTCTTAGTACAAATTGAACAGACACTAGTACTTAGGGTGTTACTAGTAACATTTTAGTCTTATAGTTACATTTAAAATCTTACTAGTA